CACCTGCCTCAGCAGCCGAATCCAGTGAAGTGGAATGGTGACACTAGGAGTCTAAAAGACCCCCAATGTCACCTTAAAGAGAACCTGTCACCTCAATGTGCCATTACATAGGGGCTTGTGAGCTTCCAATGTGATAGCAATGAGGTGTTATAAAACAAAAGTTAAAAAATTAAATTAAAAATACACTCCAAAAAATGTACAGTCCCCAAGCCTGCAAACGCGCGTATACTTACAGAAACACAAGTCGGAAGCACGTACATAGAAAAACGACAATTGTGCTACACATGTCAGGTATCACCACGTGTGCTGGAGCGAGAGCAATAATTCTCAGGCCAATATTCATGGCTAACTCAAAACTGATGACTTGGCTTTTATAAAGAAATATATTATATATCCATTCAAAAATTGGGGCGCCTGCCTTTCCACGCACATGAACTTTAATGGCATCCCAGTCTTAGTCCGTAGGGTTCAATAGTGAGTTGGCCCGCCCTTTGCTGCTATAACAGCTTCAACTCTTCTGGGAAGGCGTCCATAAGGTTTAGGAGTGTATCTATGGCAATGTTTGACCATTCTTCCAGAAGCGCATTTGTGAGGTCTGATGTTGGACGAGAAGGCCTGGCTCACAGTCTCCGCTCTAATACATCCCAAAGGTGTTCTATCGGGTTGAGGTCAGGACTCTATGCAGGCCAGTCAAGTTCCTCCACCCCAAAACTTGCTCATCCATGTCTTTCTGGACCTTGCTTTGTGCACTGGTGCGCCTTCAAGTTGGAACAGGAAGGGGCCATCCCCAAACTGTTCACACAAAGTTGGGAGCATGAAATTATCCAAAATGTCTTGGTATGCTGATGCCTTAAGAGTTCCCTTCACTGGAACTAAGGGGCCAAGCCCAACCCCTAAAAAACAACCCCACACCATAATCCCCCCTCCACCAAACTTTACACTTGGCACAATGCAGTCAGGGAAGTACTGTTCTTCTGGCAACAGCCAAACCCAGACACGTCCATTGGATTGCCAGACAGAGAGGCGTGATTAGTCACTCCAGAGAACACGTCTCCACTTCTCTAGAGTCCAGTGGCGGCGTGCTTTACACCACTGCATCTGACGCTTTGCATATCACTTGTCGATGTAAGGCTTGGATGCAGCTGCTCGGCCATGGAAACCCATTCCATGAAGCTCTCTGCGCACTGTTGTTGTGCCAATCTGAAGGCCACACGGAGTTTGGTGGTCTGTAGCTATTGACTCTGCAGACAGTTGGCAATGAGAGAACGAAAGCCACTCTGCTCCTCCGTTCTCCACCCCACTGGTGCCGGCTGCAGCGGTCTGTATAGAATATTTATTTATATATATATAAATAATTCTGCTCCAGAATGTGTGTTGCAGTGCCATTAATGTCAATGGCTTTCCAAACGTACCTCCCGGCCGTAGTGTGATCACCTGCACTGGAACATGCGGTCCATCGCTCCAGTCACCTCACCCGCAACTCCTCACTATCGTCCACTCACAATATGTTTTATATTTTTTCAAAGAATACAAGACATTCTGCCAATGGAGGAGAGGAGGGAGCGGGGATGTGACATCATCTCTCCTCCTTCAAACACAGAATGACTTGTATTGCATGAAGCTCAACCCCGCCTCTCCCCGGCAGTAACTCAGCTCCCCCTCTCATCCCTCCTCCTAGTAGCAATTCAGCTCCCCCTCCCAGCAGGCACTCAGCTACCTTATCCTCTTTTTAGAGCTGCTTTAGGTCTTAATTTATTATACATTTCCACTTTAGTCTCCTTTCCAGAAGCGCGGATCATCCATTTCTCACTCAGCTACCCTTGCTCACCCCTCTGAGCATGCTCAACTCTCCCAGCAGTGACTGTTAACTCTGCACCCCCTCCCTACAGTGATTCAGTAGCCTATATGCTTTCTAATCTCTAATGTAAGAAGACAGCAAGTAGGGGGGAGCAATGCACCTGCTGAAAGGAGTGCTTCTGCTGTGAACTTTGAGTAAAACTGCTCCACAGTCCTGCAACTACAGAGGCTCATTAGGGCTGGTGCCGCAGCAATGGCTGTCTGCATTGTGCAGGACATCCCAGGCGTGCAATCCCAGGCCTGAGTGCTTGTTACAAATTTGTAAATACCTGAATTTCCATAGCCTGGCTACAGGTTGATCTAAAAGACTTAATAACATAACTGACATACGGGATGACTGCCAGGCAAATATAAAAGCAGCCTTTACTTCAGCTGCAGTCACTGAAAAGTTATTAAATGTACCTTATATATGACTGGTGTAATTATTAAAAACTACTGTTACTTGAAATCAGGATGGAAATGGAAAGGATGTGCCCGTCTGGCACTAGCTCACTATGTTATAGTCACCCCAACCTTTTCCGGGCACTGGGAATTAAAGAAGGAGGTATTTAGGCAGGTTTAAAGATGCCAGAGTGCAGGCGTGCCAAAGATGCGAGCATCACAAGTGTGGATGAACAGGTTTACCACTATTTTGGCAAGTAAAACAATTCATATGCATCTGTTTCAGCCAAAATTTTAATAGGTACTTTACCATGCAGAAGGAAACCAAAGGCATTTTCAAAAACCCAGGACTGCTGGCAACCTATCAAGATGCCCAAGCTGACAACCCAATAAGATGCTTGGAAGAAAGCGGATGACCCATTACCATGCCTGAAAGAAAGTTGACAACCCATTTATCTGCCCAGAAGAAAGCGGACAACCCATTAACCACTTGAAGACCAGGGTGTTAAACCCCCTTCCTGGCCAGGCCATTTTTCAGGGTTCAGCGCTGCTGTACTTTGATTGACATTTATTCCGTCATGCAACGCTGTACTGAAACAAATGTTATACAATTTTTCAGATAGAGCTTTCTTTTGGTGGTATTTAATCACCACTGTGGGTTTTTATTTTTTACTATAAAACACAAAAAAAGTACCCTAAATTTTGGGGAAAAAAACCTGTTTCCCTACAAAATGTTATGAAACATTTATTGTCACCCCAATTTTTTGGTAAAATATCAAATACGGGGTCATGTCGGGTAAATAGACACCGAACATGTCAAGCTTTAAAATTGCGCACGTGCGCGCCTGCCCGCAGGAAGAAAAAAAAAAAAAATCACAGAAAACGACCACAGCCAAAATTGGCCAAAGGCAACGCTTTAAACGCTTTTACCGCTCATTAGTTTAGTGTTATCAGTAATTAATGGCCCTAAAATTATTGCTCTCCCTCAGACATGTAACAATTGTCGTTCTCACACATAGGCGCACCCGACGCATGTTTGCGTGTGTATGTGAGGGGGCGGGGGACTTTAAAAAAAAAATGTGTTATTTTACATTTTTGTGACTTTTTTTATGCTTTATTTTTTTTTACACTTAACTTTATTGCTATCACATAGGGGGCTAAGAAAACCCCTATGTGATAGCCAATTCACATGGCAGGTCCTCTTTATGGAGACATCAGGGTTCTCCAAGAGCCCTAATGTCACGTAGGGACCCCCAGAGAAGCTGCTGAAGCATCTCACCAGCATTTGTAACCGTAAAATGACACTGAATGCCGGAAGTGATGTAATATACATCACTTCCTGCATTAGGGGACCGGAGAGGAGATCAATGGGAGAACGTGTACTGATCTCCAGTAACAGAGTTGCCGTGCCGGTCACAGCCGCACTGGATCTCAGGACCGGCAGCGGTACAAGGGGGTGGGGGGGGCAAACACCTGCTGCTACTACAAGCGATCGGGCGTCTAAAGAGACGCCTGATCGCTTGAATGTAAACAGCCATCGCTGGCTGTTTACATTGCTAACAGTTTACCCACTCTTGTGCGCGCTGAGCGCCGCACACGAGCGGGGGGAGGGGCAGGACGTCTTAAGCCGCTCTCCCGCTCCTATAAGGCTCCTGTCCGGCCGTTCAGGAATGGCCATGGACGACAAGTGGTTAAGATGCCTAAAAGAAAGCCGACAACCCATTAGGGTGCCAAGAGAAAGCCGATAACCCATTAAGATGCTTGAAAGAAAGCTGACAACCCATTAAGATGCCTCAAAGAAAGCGGGCAACCTATTAAGATGCCTGAAAGGCAGACAACCCATTAAGGTGCCAAAAAGAGAGTGCTGACAACCCATTAAGGTGCCCAGAAGAAAACCAACAACTCATTTAGATACCAGAAAGAAAGCCGACAATCCATTAAGATGCCCGCGAGAAAGCTGACAATCCATTATGATGCCCGGAAGAAATCTGACCACCCATTAAGATGCCTGAAAGAAAGCGGACAACCCATTAAGATGATAGAGAGAAAGTGGACAACCCATTAAGATGATGAGAGAAAGCGGACAACCCCCTTAATACCGTTGGTTCGGCCACATCTGGAGTACGCGGTCCAGTTTTGGTCGCTGGTACTGAGAAGGGATGTCCTTGAACGGGAGAGAGTCCAGCGGAGGGCAACAAAACTAATTAGGGGAATGGAGGACCAGAGCTATGAGACAAGGCTTCTGACCTTAAACATGTTTACGCTGGAATTAAGGAGATTAAGGGGGGATGTGATTTTCATGTACAAGATGTTCAATGGTGACAGCAACATTGGCAACAAACTGTTTGAGATTAACTCCATTACAAAGACTAGAGGCCACCACCTAAAGTTGGTGGAGAAAAAATTCCAGCACAATGGGCGAAGAGGGTTCTTTACAGTAAGAGCGGTTAAGGTCTGGAACTCACTGCCATCGGCAGTGATTTTAGCCAAGAGTGTAGATTTGTTCAAGAAACGTTTGGACAATTTCTTGAGGGACCGTAATATCCAGGGATACCAGTATCCCTAAGAATGAGATGATTTCGTGGACCTATATGGGTTGGACTTGATGGACGTATGTCTTTATTCAACCCCAAATACTATGTAACTATGTAATATGCAAGAGAGAAAGCTGACAACCCATGAAGATACCAGATAGAAAGCGGACAACCTAAGACATCAGAGATAAACTTGACATAAGTATTACAATAAATGTCATTACTTACTGAAAGGCCCCGTGGCTATCCTTGATGGCAGTGAAGATGGCAGCTACAGAACTCTCCACTTTTTTCTGCAAGTAATAAAAATACATCAGCCTTAAAAATGTATCTCCAGACAGCCACTTAAGCATCCATCTGAGCTTCACAAGAGGTTTTGCACCGCATTCCGCAAAACAACCAAGCACATATCAGGGGTGTGGAATTCCTATCGCCCGATGCCCAGGACATGCAGTTTCGGGCGCCAGGCGAGTAGTTTTTTTGTACATTTAGCCCTGCTCCGGACAAGCAGAGCTAAATGTACAGTGGGAAGCCGCTGCTCGTTTTTATACAAGTGATCTGATCTGATCATTTGTATGAAACGAGCAGCGATCTTGTCTTTCAGACCCCTAATGTCATCTAGGGACCCCGAAGAAGCAGAGATCTGCTTCCCCAGCTTCTTCTCCCGCCTCTAAGAGCCGGAGAATGTAAACAGTGACACTGGAAGTGATGTAGTCCAGTGTTCTGAGGAAAGATCAGCAGCTGGACATATTGCGGCCCAGAAGTGGTTGACTGAACAAACTGAAGAGAGATGCTGATTGGTTGCCCTGGGCAACTGCTACAGATTTATCTGCTCCAGGTTTGATAAATTCCCCTCAAATGGGGGGAATTTAGCAAAACTGGAGCAGACAGATCTGGAGCAGTTGCCCAGGGCAACCAATCAGCATCTCTCTTCAGTTTTTCCCGGATGACGTTTGGAAACGAGACAAATAAGCCGATTGGATGCAGTGCAGTTTAATGCTTATTTGCAAATAATAAAAACAGTAGCTGCCCTTCAGTATACAGGTATGATATACCAATTTACACGAAAGGCTATACAACCCAATGTTCCCTCCAGTAGGCATCTGTGCCTTTTCAGCACACACAGAGGCTGGAAAAAAAACAGTCTGATTACAAACTACAACAGCAAATATCACCCAACATGGAAAATGCAAAATTATCTATGAAAATATTTATCTATGAAAATGATTCAGGAAAAATAAAAACAGTAGATAGGTTTACACGTTGCCATCAATAAATAATAGTACCAGTAATAGTGTGCCAGTAGCCCACATACTGGATACACAGAAAGAACAAATACTTCTATACAGGATGGATAAGAATGGCCTCTATACAATAAGCACCCACATTCTGCATGCTGACACTCTCCCCGAGTATAAACTGCTAACAAAGGACAAGCCTTTCATTGTAGTTTTCCCAACTGCAACAGCCAACTTAGCATATTTCTTTTGCATAAAACATTAATCACATGCGGATCTCTGGGAAATGTATTTGAAAAGGTTTTTGGCATACCTGTGTAAAAAGCCTCAGACTGAAGCTGTCATGATGTGAATTTCCAGTTGCAAACTGGCTTTGTAAAGCAGAATCTGATCATCTGTGCTGTGCGCAACATCACTAACTCAGAACTAGCATGTAGTCAATGGATGACAGCATGGGACATTCCAGCTGGGGTCACTTCCAATAGGATTTTGCTACACATCAGATTCCTTTTCATGTGTACCCGTCATTCAACCTTAGAAACTCTGTACAACAGGCTCAACAAAATTTGAGTGCTATGTACAGGGCTTGAAAAATGTTAGGGTGTCTCACCAGTCAGTCAAAAATGTCACCAGTCAGCATGACCGGACTATAGCCTTGCAATTTATGTTAACATTTTTTGGGGACAGATAGAGCTTTCTTTTGGAGGTATATAATCACCACTTGGGGGGGGTTATTTTTTACAACATAATGAAAAAAGTACCGTAAATTTAAAATAAAAAAAATGTTTTCCCTTCGTTATGTTATAAAACATCTATTCTTACCCATATTTTTGGTAAAATATAAAAGACGGGGTCACGTCGGGTAAATAGACACCAAAACATGTCAAGCTTTAAAATTGCGTGCGTCCGCAAAATCTCAAAAAAACGACCACACTGAAAATTGGCCATAGGCGACGCTTAAAACGCTTTCACCGCTCATCAGTTTAGTGTTATCAGTAATTAATGGTCCTAAAATAATTGCTCACACTCCGACGTTTGCGGTTATATGTAACATGTGCGGCACCATCGTTGTTTTCGCACGTAGGCGCACCCGACGCATATCTGCATGTGTATGTGGAGGGGCGGAGGACATTAAAAAAAGAAAATATTTTCACATTCATTTTAATGCTTCTTTATTTTTATGATTCTTTCATTTTTGTATTACTTTTTTTTGTTTTACACAACTTTATTGCTATCACATAGGGGGCTAAGAAGCCCCCTATGTGATAGCCAATTTACATGACAGGTCCTCTTTATGGAGACATCAGGGGTCT